TCCTGGCATGGGGGATGCCATCACATGCAGCATGAGCTGGGGTCCTCTCATGGGAAGAAAGCCATCAGTCTGCAAACCAGCAGTGAGAAGCAAGAGTCCCTTTCATTTAAGGCACCGTTGAAGAGATTTAATTGTCTCAATGCTAGTGATAGGGGAAGGGAGTCAGGCCCCCCAAATTTTTTCTGTCTGGGATAATTATAAAACCAGTAAGGACCAGCAGGAAATGCCAGCCGGGGCATCCCCAGAAGCTGTCTCTTTGGTGGCTAAGAGCAGGGGAAGCTGCCAAGTGTACAGTAATGGCAACAGGTTCAGGCAGGAGATTGAACGTTTATCACTAAGAAGCTGGGCAGCACATGCTTACAGGGATCTGCCTTCTACATTTGGGATCTAGCAGGAGGATCAGGACTTTGGGGGAAAAATAGCCAAGCAAGCCTGGGAGAGACTGCATGCCAAATCCTTCCCTCTGGGGTCCTGTCTAGACTAGGAACATGGTGGGGTGCAGCTAAAGCTAAGGGAAAGGTTTGCTCAACAGTGGGCGCGTTTACACATGCAATTAATACTATTTGGCTCCACTGAACAGTACGTTTACAGCGCAGTAGACTTATTTACTGCACAGTAGGCGCGTCTACATGTTCATTAATGTGCAGAAGTTACTGCCTATTTTAGTACCTGCTTAATGCAGTACTAACGAAATGTACAGTAACTAGAGTTACTGTGCAGTAGCGCTGGCACAGGTTTTTTAGTGACGCTTACTGAGCAGTAGCCTAATACTACTGCACAGCAGCGTATTAGCATGGTTGTTGCCTGGGATGCTAATGTGCAGTGTTATTAGGCTACTACGCATTAAGCATCTCATGTAAATGTGCCCAGTAAGCACCTGCATGTGTAGATGGTGATGCTTTACTGCACAGTAGAATAGTCTTGTCAAGGTTTGTTTGGCTTGAGCCATGATGACCAGAAATAAAAATACGAAGGGAAATGGTGGAAGTGTGTGGGTTTCTGTACTCATCAGAGCTGGCACCTTGTAGTGCATGAGTTACCACTGCCACTCAGACTGTTCTCCTGTGCTTGGAGACAAGGTGCTGAACTTCCCTCTGCTATTAGGTAGTACAGTTTCTGGGATTCCAGTGCATGCAATAGTGTTTGCAAGAAGCAAACTCCAAAGAGCTAAACCCCAAAAGAACAGCAGCTGCCCTCTACTTCCATTCATGCAGAAGGATCCAAAAGTAACTGCGTTCTTTGAGACGTCAAAGAACTCTGCAGGAATATCAGGCCTTAAAATTGCTGGGTTTTTATGCATCTGAAACCCTGCCATCCTAAGTGGAGACATTTTGCCTTTTGGAGTTGCTGAGTTGTTGGTACTTGAATTTAAGACCTCCTGATCTACAAGCAACAGCTTTACCACTGGAAGGGAAGAAACACGTTTCCCTTGGCGGTGAGCTAAAAAAGAGCTGGGCTGTCTGCTTTCAGGACCTTACTTTGGTTCCTGTTTAAACTGAGCCGCTGGGTAGCTTCGCTGTGCGCTTCTCACTGCTGCCACGATCCCCCCTGAGGGGACTGCCCTTGAAGTGGCGGAGGAAATGAGGCCTATATATAGCTTGTGAAGCCTCTCTTCTCCGGTGGGCCAAACTTTAGCTCAGCAGGCCCCTCTCTCTGAGCACTGATTTTGCCCCTCTGATCCCACACCTCACTGCATGTGCCTTCATTTTGGTCATATAACAACCTATGTGCATGCACACACAGGGAGCATCTGCACATGCAAGTCATGCTATTTGGCTTTAATGTGCAGTAAATTGACAGTACAGTGGACTAATTTACTGCACAGCAAGCACCTGCACATGTAAACGGTGACACTTCACTGCACAGTAGACCAACCTATGGTGCAGTAAAGTGTCTCATGTAGACATGCCACGCTGTAGATACACACGACCTGAACAAATGTCCTTCACAAGGCCTGTGCCAGGCATAACTACTCAGTCCTGCTACTTCTGTACTCCACGCTCCCTCCTTCCCTTTGCACGTGCCTTGTTTCTGTTGAAGATATAAGCTCCTCTAGGCACTGGTCATGCCTTCCTGCCTATCTGATGGTGCTAGTATAACTGATTGTTTTCATTACAGCCCTGGCCAAAGGTCCTGGGGTGCTGTTGTGCTGGGGGACGTGTGAGAAGACAGGGAGAGATATGAAAGAAGAGCAGAATAATACATGAGTGCTTAGGAGGCCTTATGGGTGGAAAGCTGTCCTATAACCACCCCCCTCCAGCCCCTGGCGGGTAACACACATCTCCCAGCAGGACATAAAGTTCCAGCAATGTATTTTGTTTTTTTGACCATCTATGATATTCACACAGCGTGGCTGCTTCTGCATGAAGACACGGAGGTCTTGACACTCAAGGAGTGGCTTGGGCTCCTTAGGGCTGGATTCGGGCCAAGGAAAAGAGAGCAGCTATGAAGGAAAGGTAATGCCTTCTCTGCTTTACCATCTCCCCCGCCCAGGCTGTGATGAATGCAGCAGAGGCAAGTCACACGGACCTGAGCTCGCTCTTCCTCCTCCTCCACGTGCAGCCCTCTGCTACCTACAGCTCATGTTATTTGCTCGGGAGCCGGGTCCTCTGTAGCCCCAGACAGCAGAGTGCTTGGGGAAGCTGCCACGTGCCTTTGCTTGGGAGGCAGCCAAGGATGGGATGCGGCAGTGCTCACCAAGGCTGGCTGGGAAGCAGCTTGGAGGAGGGAAGAGGTGGGGGGAGAACTTAATTTGGCTGCCAAGTTTCAAAGAGCTCGCTTGCTTTGGAGTTACATGACAGCAATGATTGAACTGCGCGGGGGCGGCTGCAACCAGGAGAACGGGCTGCAACGGTGGGGGTTTGAGAATGAAAGCGGCGGCAGGCTCTGCGGTAATGAGGGGGCTGCTATAGGTCAGCTGCCTCTGCCTCCATGCCTGGGCATGGCTGGGAGGCAGCATCCTATCCAAACCCCTCCAGCATGCACCTCCTGGGCCACACATGGAGCATCCCACACTTAAAGGGACCCCTAATGAGGGAACACACAGGCCGGGCCCTGCCGAAAAGCACTCCACCCCTCAGCCAGTCCCATCCCAGCTGGGACATGGGGTGAGAACAGAAGGGGAGGAGGTAGAAAAGAAAGGGGCCAGAGGAGATAAGCAACTCAACCAGCCGAGGAGGTGGGCTTGGGGAAGACTCCCGCCAAGCACTGGTATGCCTACGCTAAAGGGCATGCACCCTGTCCTCTCGCCTAGCACAGGGGTCTCCCACGAAATGCAAATGTGAAGCTGTGTTGGGTGGGAAGGGGGGGATTTAGCAGCTCCTCGTGATCAGGCTGGAGACAGAAAGCTGGAGAGACTGGTGCTTCTGCCTTTCTCATGGAGAAAAGCATGCTTCTAGTGGCTTGGGTGTCATGTTGGATGGGGGAGATCCACTCCCTACCCAATGAATGGTTCGGATGTGCCCTCTACCTCAGCATCCCCTATGGGCTAGTTGGGCAGATCTGAGTGCTGGACCACTCAAATGCAGGAGCCCACACGTAGTTGAGTGACACCTCCCATGCACTGCGTTGGGAGCCTGCAATGCTCTCAGTGGGGGGCAGATGACAGAGCAAGGAGCAATGGGCTCAAGCTGCAGCAAGGGAAGATTAGGTTGGATATTAAGAAAAAATAATTCTCATTAGGAGGGTGGCGAAGCACTGGAACGGGTTACCCAGAGACGTGGTGGCATCTCCATCCTTGGAGGTGTTTAAGACCCAGGCAGACAAAGCTGGGATGATGTAGTCGGGGCTGGTCCTGCTTTGAGCAGGGGGCTGGACTGGATGTGACCTCCTGAGGTCCCTTCTAGCCCTCATTTTTTATGATTTCTATGAACCTGAGCATCTCACTTAGGCCTGGAGGCTCCATGTGGCAGCTCACTCCGAGCATTGCAGCCGCCTCTGGCCTCAGTCCTACCTCCTGCTCTGCAACTCGTCACCTCGTGGGCAGAGCTGTGGGGTGAGGTCTACGGAGGTGCTCATGCACGGCCTAGAAGTCACTTGTCTCCCTCAGTCCCCTGCGTGAAGGGACCTGGAGGTCTCATCTGGGTACAGGCGCCGGGTGCTTTCTAGGAGAGGCCAGCTTTCTCCTTCTTGCAGAAGACAAGATTTCTGGGAGCAACACAAAGACGCCCTTGCACCTGTCGCTCTGAGCCCCAGGTGCTGGACACTCAAAGCCCAAGCTCTGTTTTGCCATCCTCTTTAGTGAAAGTAATCTCCTTAATGACACCACACCGTTGTAGGCAGTCTTGGTGTTTGCTCCCGTGGCACTGGTTTAACCGGCTGACACCTCTCCCTTCTCTGACCTCCCTCTGTTGGGGATGCTCCTTTCTCTCTTTCTGCACAGCACTGGGGTGGGTTGTTTCTGGTCTGTAAAAGGCACGGGGATGAATACTCCTACAAGCAGTTTTCCATCTGTCCACAGGACAGCTGCATAAGGACAAAGCCCTTCTCCCGGCAATGTGTTTTGACTCTAGGCTGCCTGGCTGCTCCTTGCAGAGGGTGGTTCAGCATCTCCATCAGGCTCTCGTGGTGGGCACGGGACTGAGACCCATCACCCAAACTGGGTGTACGGGCCAAGACGCTGACAGACAACAACACCTTTCAGCCCCTCTGACGCAGGCTCTATCTGAACCTTGGACCAAGATGCAAAAGCCCATGGAAACTCGTCTTTCTCACTCACTCCCTTCCTCCCGTTAGGGTTGGAAGTTCATCCTTTCATAACCACAAGCAGTCACCTTTGCAGATATGCTGTCAGCTTACAGGGAAGGGAAATGAAGGCTCTCACTACCAAAAAAGCAGAGCATTTAACAAACAAACCATCACTCCTGCATCGTGGTCTGATCTCTACCCTCTCCCCCCTCTCCACCCCCTATGAATCCACGTCAGCTCCAGTATCCCCCCACTTCTCCTACCCTGGGACCTCCCACCTGCCCGCCGAGAAAAGGCGTGAGGATTTCCCATACCTTCAATAGGTTTTGGTACAAAATGTGATGAGGGTTTGGTTTTTTTCACCCGGTTCCCCTTCATAATTTGACCTTCTTTATTGAGCCCTAGGAACCACGCACGTCCAGATTCCTGCTGCCGGTACAGCGTGGAAGAATAAATAACGTAGTAGTTTTCAAAGACGGATTCCTTGAATTTGCATTCTGGCGTGAAAATATCCTGCAGAGGGAGAGAGAGAAGGGAAAAAAAAAAAAAAGCAATGGAAGGAATTAATCACTAATCACTTAAGCCAGGCATCACTGAGAGCTAATCAATGTTCCCCAATCACAGTCAGCTTAGCAATAGAGCACTATAAATGGCAGCTGTTTCGGACCCCAGCAATAAAGTGCAGATCTAGAAAACAGTCCAATAAAATAAAAGTCCCTCTGGTCTGTTGATACCGCAGGGCTGTCGTTTGCAAACCAGCCTATGAAAGAAGTGCTTGGGAAAAGCGTGTGCAATGCTTTGCGGGTGTGGACACAACATGGTCCATAAGCCCAGGTGGGTTAGGAACCCCCTGGCTGTGCAAGGAGCCAGTGTGCATGCAGGAATGGGGTGTCTGGATGTCTGGGGGCTGCCTGCAGGTTGGTGTAGCATCTACAGCATGCTTGAGAGACAAAGGTGGCAGGGTTTTGGCTCTGCCGTCCAGGCAGCAAGGTCCCGATCCCCACGACACAGCTGCGAACGCGCCTCGTGCACCTGAGCTGGACACCTGGAGACAGCTGCCGAAATCGCCTCCTGGCAAAAGGCAGGTCTGGAGAGAGGAGGTGGAAGGATGCTGAGAGGTGGCTTTCAGGAGCACGTTTGTATTTCCTTAATCAAAAATGGGGCAGGAGGGGGTGAAGGCACAAAGCGTGAGAAAGGCTGAATAAGGAGGGGGGGAAAAATCAACGAAGTGTAAGCAGCTTCCCTGGACAGAGGCTGCTGGATTCAGGCCTGGCCAAGCAGTGGAAAGGGTGTAACAGGAACACGGTCAGATTTGCTGTCCAAACAGCTGGGACAGAGAGGGGAAGCCTTCCAAGGCAAGATGGTGCAAACTGCAATGCCCTCATCTGCTACCTTCTCCCTGCACAGGGGTGGCAACGGCATCTAGCAAAGACTTCAGGCTGGATACACCTGCCCCACCATGAAAGGGGGAGTGAGAACCCCCCCCCCCTTCCCAATACCACCCATAGCCCAGCAGGCTAGATGCCCATGAGGCATCCAGGAAGAGCCCCAGCCATCAGCCCACCCTCTCCATCCCTCTTTTTAAGCAGAAAGCCTCTCCTGGACTCAAGGAAACTGCTCAGCGAACATTTTGTTACAACTGGTACCTCCTAGGTGAAGGTTTCATTCCCCTGAATTGTTATTTCTTGAATAGCTTTTCATTGGCAAATGCCTCTACCTGCACTGCCAGCTGCCAAGAGCTGTAGTGACCTGGGCAGGAGGTTTGTTCTAGATGTGGCATCATTCAAGGAGCTGAGCAATGACACCGGAAACAGGATGATGCTCAGCTTCCCAGACCCTATGCAATCAGATGGACACTCTTGTCCAGTAAATCCTGCTGCTAATGACCACGGAGGAGCTCTCCGGTAGATACTGCAGCATTGCATTCATATCATATCATTGGGGCTGCAATTCTGAGCTCCATTTCCCTGGGAAAGCCACTGCCAACTTCAAAGTGAAGCTGTCAGGGTCATACAACATCCTTGTTGCAGACCTCTTTTCAAAGGCAGCATTTTGCACCTTCAGCCATAGTCCCAGCTGCAGGGTGCATTCCCGAGACCTTCTTTTTCGGGTTATATAAAGTGTTGCTAGCATGACAACATATCTGATGTGCAACAGACCTGCACAGCCAGTCAGGCTTGAAGCCACAGGAGAGAAAGAGCCGCAGAATGTGCACCGCTTTGCGGCACGTAACCAAGTCTGCATCCATCGTTAGCAGCGCGGATTAAAAATGCTTCCGACCCACCGGGTCCCTCTGCCGTGTGTGATGGGACCTCGTGCTTGTCCTTAAACAAATACTTTAGGGGGTGACAGGCTAGATGGGGTCTGGAAGGCTTCTCACAGCACTTGGGGAAACAGTAGGAACTAATCTGCCAGTGACTTGTGCTCCCAAATATCACCCCAAAGCCATTCTCTGTATTCAGCTCTGTGGTGGGCCCTCCACCGGCTTTGTTTTGGCTTCGAATACACAACTCATATGGGGCAGAGAGACATATTAGCACTTTTGGTAATGTCAGAAATCAGACAGCTACTTTATAGTGAGGTATTATTATTATCATCATTGTCATTATTATTATTATTACCATCATCATCCCCAGCAGTCTTTCCTGCCCAAGTGCAGGGGGGCTGGACTCAAGGATCTCGTGAGGTCCCTTCCAGCCCCTCACATCTATGAATCATCATCATTGTCATTATTATTATCATTATTATTATTAAAAATGGGGAACTGAGAAAGGCTGAATAAGGGCCGGGGCTGGGGGGAATCACTGAAAATATTCTGTGAAGTGTAGACCATCTCCCCGCACAGAGGATGCTGGAGTCAGGCCTGGCCCAGATGTGAAAAAGGCATGACAGGAACACAGTCAGATTTGCCTATTATTAATAATTTGATTAACATTAAAAATATTCAATTTAATAATCAGTATTCATAACTGCTACTAATGATACTTAATCAGTGCAGTTAATGATCAGTGGTTGTGTTAGTTATTAGTTCTTGCTCATTGTTACAAAAAATTATAACAGCAATGATAATAGTAATCATGGTAATCATAACGATAATGATAATAACAATAATAACAGTAATAACAACAATAATAGTGATAATAATAATAACATTGCAATGCCAGCTGCAGGGCATTATGCCAGACATTGTACAATTGCAAACCACACCAGAGACCGTCCCTGCCTCAAAAAGCCTACGATGTACCGAGCAGAGAGGCTCGTCCCAGTCACAGACTGATAAAACAAATAGTTTCCCCATAAAAACGGATATGTCATATTGCCAGCAAGGTGGTAGGCTGCAGCGTGACCCTGCTGCAATCGCATCCTCGGGTCCACGCTTCTTCTCCCCCACTGCTTTCTTAAGAAATGGGTCCCCTTTACATTGTGTTGTTGCTCTCCCACCGCCAACCCCTGCCCACGAAGCGTGGGGTTTGAAGGCTCAGCTGTGACTTTAGTGCTTCACACTTTGCCACCAGCAATACGGGTTTTGCACCTAGCATTTAGCCGACCCCTTTGCTGACGTGAATAATGCAAATCAGACCACAGCTCTGCTTCCCGCTGCGGTGCTGCCTCTGCCCTCGCAAGAACAATTTGTGTGTGCTTTGGGAAGCGGAGCGAGCAGACCTGACGTAAATGGCAGAGTGGATGGGAACAGGCTCTGTTCTCTACACTTCCCTTTCCATTTATTACATTTGGAGCCAGGTTTTGAACAGCAGTGGAAATCTGGAGCAACTCCTCCAGTATTAAAAACTTCTTTCTTGGAAATACAAGGCTAGACTCTATTCTACCCACTGGATGTCTTCTCCAGAAGAAGGTAGGGCAGACTGGCCAGCCACATTAGAAAGCATGCTTACATGTCATTATACCAGGGATTTACACATGGGACTCAAGCCACTTTCCTAGGGGCTGCCTGTGGGTGCCGGGCCTGTCCCATGGGATTCATTTTGGTCAGTCTGTAAGTGTTCAAACATTTACTTGTTCTTTGGTTTCTTCTTGTTGGTGGCCACCCTTGAACGTTTGCAAAGCACATCTAGATTAGTGTACTAAGTTGCAGGATGTGCCATTTGTTGATGTCTTTGTGGATGCTGATAAGAGGTGATTGAAGCTGTCTACTCTGCTCGTAGAATAGATTTCCTACCCAAGTTGACAGAGGCTGGTTATTTCATCTTAATTCTGGGGACAGTCCATGACGTGTGTTACTTTTGGCTGCTAACTTCACTAATACTCTTGAGTGCTACAAAATAGGAGAAGGATATTAGGATAATAACAGCAGATCATCTACCAGCTTTACTGTCAAAATTAATTACATTAAATCAAGTAAGGAACTGTTGTTTCACTTATCTCAGCCTAAGAAGAGTGGCAAAGAAAGGGAATAACTGAAGGCGTACTTAAATGGTTTCACACTAATAAGATAGTTCTTACAGCCAACGCTGTGCACTGACGGAAAGATCTTGTAATTTAAGATAGTTCTCCGAAGTGCAGCGGGCTATTAGCCAGAGATGGAAAATCTGAGATTTGCAGCTGTTTTTAAGGAGAACTCAGCAATGGGGACATGGGCATCTCCAGAGAGCAAAGCCTTCTCTCTGGGTGTGTCTACACGGACGCATTTACTGCACAGTACAGTACAGGTGTGCATCTACATGTGCGCGCCTGTACTGTACAACAAATATGGCGCTTTATGCTGACTTGGGTGTAAATTTGATACGTGCATCATGCAGGTATCAGATTTACACCTGATTAATTACTGTGCAGTAATGCACATGTAGACGCATTACTATGGAGTAACACTAAAGTTAGTCCCAAGTCAGTCCACATGCAGCGTTGCTGCACTTTAACGCCTGCATGTGTAGATGCTGGCCTATTCCCACTTACTGTGCAGTAACTTTAAGCCGGCGTAAATGCCCTCTATGCGGCAGGTAGCAGATGGCAGCTTTAGTGCTGTATTCCCAGGGCCCTGTTCCCGAGGCGGCTCTATCCTGACCTCTATCCTCTTGGAGTAACAGGTAGGTTTGTCTCCATGGATCTCGACTGCCCCTACCCCTGCTATCATGACCTCTGCAAATTAGGCATGCAATACTGGCCAGAGACTAATGTCCACTCTGTTCAGATGAAAATAACATGATGAAATTCAATGCACGGATAAGTAAGGGATGATTCAGCTTTTTTTCCCTTCCCACAAAGGGCTTTTTTAAATCTGTGAATTTGGTCCCTGCAGAAAGTCCCCTGACCCCCTCCCAGGAACATGTCTGGAGTAAGTGGCTTGGAGAAAGGAAAAAGGAAAGGAGATAAGCTGGAGAAGAAAAAGAAAAGCACCCTGTCATTTTTTATGGAAAAAAAAGTCTTTTTGACACATGATACGTGCTTTTAAATTTTGGTCAAGAATTGTTCAGCTTTCTGACAAAAAAATGGACACAGAAAATATTAAAAAATCATGGGGTTGGGATTTTTTGTATCTGAAAACAACCACTGAAAAT